CTGATGCCTCCAAAAACTCCTAGCCACTGTGTTTGTCATACTTATCCAAATTACCCTGAAAGATCCATTCTATGGGATCACTGAAGTTTTGTACTAGGGCTCTTTATTTCAACCTCGATAAATGATGGTTTATGTAGTCAAGATGAATTGCCTCTGGCAACTTTCATACTTGGCTCAGCACAGACCCAGCAGTTATCAAAGTACCAGTCTTGTGCTAGCTGCATGTTGAAATACCCAATGTATGGAGAAGCTGTATCAATTGCCCTGTTAATGAATTATTTTCAGAATAAGTTTTAATAAAGATTAAAGTTGATGGCTTTTCTACAACCTAATGGTCATTTTACAAGCTAGTTGGTTTTAAAAAGTGACAGAGAAGTCCTGTATCTAGCCCAGCTACTTCTTTTATCAGTATGACAAATGTTTCCATAGAGATAATTGATGGGTAAGTCATCCTAAGGCCATTACTGTACATCATTTAGCAGCTAGCTTAAGTTCAACATAAGTAGTTAAAAGGGATAGGTGATGACCTACCTGATTTTTTAAGATAACATAATCATGTATAAAGGTGGAAGAACTTAAAGGGAGAAAAATTGAAAAAGTTGTGTGTTGGACTGGATATCATCATAGAATTATCATAGAATCCCTACAGTGTGGAAACAGGCCCTTCAGCCCAACAAGTCCACACTGACCCTCAGAGCATCTCACCTAGACCCATTCCTCATAACCCACCTAATCGACACATCCCTGAACCCTATGGGCAATTTAGCATGGCCAATCCATCTAGCCTGCACATCTTTGGACCGTGGGAGGAAACCCACGCAGACACAGGGAGAATGTGCAAACTCCACACACACAGTCACCCGAGGGTGGAATTGAACCCAGGTCCCTGACGCTGTGAGGCAGCAGTGCTAACCACTGACCCACAGTGCAGCCCAAAGCAGGTGGTAAACTCCATCTAAGGCTAAATACTGGCACGAGACCGATAGTCAACAAGTACCATAAGAGACAGTTGAAAAGAACTTTGAAGAGAAAGTTCAAGAGAGCCATTAAAAGGTAAATGGGTAGGCTCTGCGCAGTCCGCCTGGAGGATTCAACTCGGCAGCTCTGGTCAGTCATGTCAGGGTTCGGCAGATCTACTCAGCTGGGACCGCCACCCACGTGGGCACGGCTGTTGCCGGGCGCATTTCCTCCACTGATGGTGCGCCGCAACCAGCTTTGGGTCTGCTGGGAAGGCCGGTGGCTTTGGAAGGTGACTCGCTGCTCCATGCGGCGAGTGTTATAGCCCCCGGCAGGAGCCTTCGCCGTACCCCCGGAGTTGAGGGAAGCCCAGGGATGGTGCGAGGCTGGTGGCAGCCTACAGCTCGTCAGGATGGTGTCTTCTTGGAGTCTGGTTTGCTTGGGAATATGTCTTTGCGTGAAAATATCAACTGAAGTGATAAAGAATACTACTGAAATCGACAGTGACAACATTGAGACAAAGACCTGTGTTTTATCATTCTGGTGAGGATTTCTGCAGTTAGATGGACCTGGAGAATATGATCCCTAATTACAGAAGAGACAAGATGAAAGTTGGATAAAAATGAGAGATGTATCAATAATACAATAGTGCTAAGTGACAGAGATGAATCCTTTTTTGCTGACAGCAACATAAATTGTAATTATGACCCTACAGACAAAATTAAATATGTGTTAGATACTTGTATTTTTTAAACTGTTTTCCAAGTTAATATTCATTGATTTTTAGATTGGTATCGGACTCATTTACTTACCAGTTTAACATAATTATGTTAGTACGCTGGGAAGCAAATAACCCCATACAAAGCAGGACAATATTTTTATTTTCCTAAGCAAACTGTGGAAACAGAACAAGTCAGAGACATTGATCACGTCTAAGAAACCTAACTTTAATTTTTTCAAATGAAAAGTTATGCAATTGCTTGAGATATTTGAATAGCTTAGCATAGAACAGCTGCTTCAGAATGAAGGAAGAAATTAAAATTATCATTTGGACACCAAAACAGAGCAGCATAAGAGAGGCTCGGAATAGCACTTTTTAAAAAAAATTTGTCCATGGTGTCATTATACTGACCAGCATTTATTACCCAAGCCTAATTGCCCAGCAAGCAGTCAAATGTCAATTACATTGCTGTGGGCGTGGAGACACATATAGGGCAGATAGGGTAGGGACAACAGATTTCATTCCCTAAAAGGACATCAGTGAACAATGTGAGTTTTTACGACAAATGACAATGGTTATGTGGTCACATTGAGGCTAATATTTTTAAATCCAGATTTTTATTGAATTCAAATTTCACCATTTGTCATGGTGTGATTCAAAACCATATTCTAAGAATATAAATCTGAAGATCTGAAAAACTAGCCCAGCACAGTTTATCATGACACCACCACCTTCCCTACTCAGTTGGCCACTTGTCAAACTTGCTGGACAGAAAAGATATACCTACAAGGAAAATGTTAAAAAATTTGCAAGTTTGAAGAAAAATGCAGACTTCTGAATACTTATTAAAGGAGTTAGACTTGTTGATTACATGGATCAGTATCAATAAACATATTAGACATTATGCAAAGTTAAAATGTGAAAAGACCATTTGAGCCAAAGGAAGTTTTCAGATGCAAATTTGAAATAATATATGATTTCTATCTTTTCTACAATTAAATGAGTGTTGCTGCCCAGAACGGCATTTCAGTTCATTCCTAATAGGCCTGGAGGTGATGGTGAACTATCTTCTTAAACTACTTAAGACTAACTGGTATAACTACATTCAGCGCTATTAGAAATGGAGTTCCAGGCTTTTGAGCCAGTGACAGGGAAGGAACAAGTATAGCCCTATGTAAGCATAATGTGAGGCTTGATGGGGAACTTTCAGGATGGTGGCATGCATGTGCTGTCCTTCTTTGTGCTTGTAAAGGTCATAGGTCAATGGCAGCTTGGCCAGTTGATGCAATGCATCTGGCAGAGGGCACAAATTGCTAATAGTATTGGCTGGTTGCTCATTTGTCCATCGTCCTGTACAACTAGATCTGCCAGGATGTAGAGCTGTATTGCAGTACCCAAAATAATTTGACACCTCTCTTTATGTTGACTATAAAAGCTGTGATAAATTACACATTATTACATTGTAAAAATATCTCCACTTATTTGTAAATATTCAAAATAAAATGCCTTTGTTATGTACTACAGTTAGATCAAGTTCAATTCAGCACATCTCCAATTAGAAAGTTCTTTTTAAACCATACGATATTTGGGACTAAAACCTTTAATTTAATTGGGATAAATGAAATAACTCTGATGGAAAATGACTAACATGGCTAGTTACAACACTGTCCTTTTATCTGTGAGGCCTAGTTTAGAATATACAGGATGTTCAAAGGAACTATTTGACACTCTCGATTCATACCACGCATTTATACACCTAAATTCAAATCAAATTCATATACTTTGCACATACTGTCAGAGTTACAATAATCCATATAGTAATTTCAAATATTAAAGGAAGTTTGCAGTTAATTTTTCTCTATTAATTCAAAATTATCTTAAAAGTGAGGAGCTGGAAGTCATTTGGTACTTCTTTAACACCTAGTGGTATCAAATGGAATGCCTGAGGTTTGTGCTTGCAATTCCTCAGTGGAGATGTTGAACTAAGAACGTTTTATCATAGGAAAGTCACTTCTGTTGCACTTTAATAGATTTCCCAGCATCAAATTACAGGTTAAATATGTTTAAGATTTCACTAGACTTGCCCAAAGAATACATATAGAACAGAAAACTAAAAGAGTGTGGGAATAAGCAAATTATTATAAGGGTGGCAGATTACTAGTGGGTGCTGAAGGATCAGTGTTGCAGACTCAGGTTCTTATATCTGGGGTTCATGCAAGTTGCTATTTAAATGCAAATCTTTCTTTAATAATGGTTGAGATGAAGAACCATGGGTAATGTATTCAAGCCTCCTGACAATACAAAGCTAGTGGGAAAGTAGGGCACAAGGAGGTCACAAAGAATATGCAAAAGGATATAGTTAGGTAAGTGAATGAGTAAGAATCTGGCAGATTGAGTACAATACAGGGAAATGCGAGGTTATTCACCTATTTAGAAATAGAAAGACTTTTGTTTTAAATAGTGGGAAACTTTTGATCTTCAGCAGCATTGGGTTTTTTTGTACAAGAAAAAGTTAATATGCAGGCGCAGCAAACAATGAAGGCGGCAAACAGTGTTTTGTTTTTATTGCAAAAGGGTTGGATTATCAAGAGTAAGGAAGTTTTGCTGCAACTGTACATGGCTTTGCGAGATTATATAAAAACCTAAAGAACTGCGGATGCTGTAAATCGGGAACAAAAACAGAAGTTGCTGGAAAAGCTCAGCAGGTCTGGCACGTTCTGGACCCAAAACGTTAACTGTTTTTTTCTTCACAGATGCTGCCAGAATTGCTGAGCTTTTCCAGCAACTTCTGTTTTTGTTTGCGAGATTATACCTGGAATAGCATGTACAGTCTTGATATCAGGAGGAAAGATATATTTTCCTTAGAGAGAGTAAAAATGAAGGTTCACCAAATTGACTCCTGGGACGACAGGATTGATCAATGAGGAAATATTATGCTGATTTGGCCAATATTATCAGGAAATTAGAAGAAAAGTCTCACAAAATGGGTGTCCAAAAACTGCTTTCCTGCACAGGAATTCAGGGGATAGAGAGATGACCATTTGGACTATGATGAAGAGAATGTTTTCCTCAGAGTGCTATGAATCTTTCAAATTCTCCAAACAGAGACTGTGAACACTCCGTTGTTGAATATAGTCAAGGCTAAGATTTTTGGATTAACAAGTATGTGAATTAGGCACGAAAGTGGAAATTAGGTTTCAGATCAACCACAGTCTTATTAAATGGCTGAGCAAGCTCAAGGAGCCATAAGTGCATTTCTGTACCCATTACTTATGCTTTAAAGTATTCCCAAAATTGAAACGCTTCAGTTTTAATACTTCTCTTGCTATGAGTGTTATGGAATTTTAATATCAACCATTACTTCACTACATTCAAGGTTCTGAACTTCATACATTTCAATGAGGAGATGCCAGTCTTGGGTAATGGGGATGACGTCTCTGGATGCTGGAAAGATTTAGTTCCAGATAATGTTGTCCACAAAAACTGGCGAGCAAAAGCAGCAATATATGATGTGTGGCTCTCAGTGCCAATCTTTTTGGGTCCATATCAAAAGTCACATGTATTTATATCTCATCCTCTTCTTCAAAGTTACGTCTCTGCACTCTGGTTTCTCAGAGCTCCTCCAATTCCACACTGCTCAATCTCAGCAATGACTGACATGTGTTTGAAATCACTGGGTTTATGATTAAATGTCTCCACCAGATTGAAGATCTGTTCGCAATCCGTGGCATAGAAGAGTTGAGCTTCATTGGCAAGACACTGTGCCTCTTGTACATTCTGTAAGTCAGAAAACATGATGGTGGCATTTACTGAACTTTAAGACTTTGGTTTTTCAAGTGTAATGCTGTTAGTAACTCCTTTTAGATATCTTTTGCAATGCAAAACCCATTCATCCTCCTTTCCCTTGAAAGAAGGGTTCAATCAGATATTTCAACAGGGCAGGTTTTACAAATGTTCATTGTCCAGACTGGCAAAGTATTCTCGTTAATAAAGGCTTGCAATTTTTTAAAAAATTGCAATCTATAACACATTTTTGTAGCTTTAAAAAGAACATTTTGCCATTACAATTTATATTAGCTGTCACAACTGAAGACAAACAAGTGAACAAAACGTCAAGCCATAATGTTTTATTCTTCTTAATCTTGAATTATGATTTTCATTTTATACACATGACAGTTTTGTTTGCACATTAAAACCAGTATGCTGTGGTACAGCATATATTTGCATTATGGTCTGCTCCACTTGTTGTGATGTATACCCCGTCTCAGCTTCATACAGGAGTGTACATAGCGATGGTCAATAAGGTGCTTGACCACAGGAGAATGAGAAAGAAACTGAAGCTTCTTTCGTGAGCATCCCAAGGCTACCTTAATACATTTAATGTAATTTACAGCAAGTGGTCATACCAATTGATTTTCTGTGGGGGATGAGGTATTCATAGCTGATACTGTGGAGCTCTTAAAGATAGCTGACAGTGCCATCTGTGGGAGATAACTGTTCAATTCTGTATGATTTAACAAGAGCACTTATTCTTGCCTCACGATATATTTTAAAAATGTATTGCACCGCTGATAAAGAAAAATTGCTCATGATATGTTTTCTGCTATCAAAGCAGAATGTACACAATGGTGAATACTACTTTTTTACTGCAAAAAGAGCATTAATACTAATTTCTAGAAGTCTGAAATGATAAACTTCAACATCAGTTTAGTATAATTCTCTATCTTTACCTAACTTTATAACATTCAAGTCTCAATTGGATATCCTGGAAGAAGTCAACTGCCATTACTTTCACTACTTTTGATAAAAAGATCAATTCCATATTCACTCTATTAAAAGTATATATTTCTTACCAGAAACGTTGTGTCTATTTCTGCAGTAAGTAGTACAATGCCCTTCTCCTTCTGCAGATCGGGGTAATGATAGATTATAAGCTGGCTTGGTGAATTTTCTCCCAAAGACTGCAAGCCAAGAAAAGAAAATATTGAAAAAAAATGGTAAAATGATGATCAAGAAATCTGTGATACATTGTTGGTTTGCAGATAAACACCACAACAAAAAATGGATTTAAAACAAAGGGATTTAGTGTGGCCATTATGATTTACTTCTAAAACAGTGACGTAGTACTGCATGCTTACTTAATTGCCTCCATCTAAGACTAGTGTCTTAAACTCAAATACAGCAATTAAAAAGGGCATGAACCTAGCAGTGGAAGAAGCAAGTTTAAATCAGATTAAGGAATAGTCAGTACAGTTACAGTGGCAGACATTTAATGGACCAATCTAGAACAGACAGAAATTATACATTCCAGTGAGAAAGATAGATTTTAAGGGAAGGATGGATCATTTGTGGCTGACTAAGGAAGTTGACAGCATTATCAGATTGAAAGAAAATGTGCATAATTCGCAAAGAGGAGTGGCAGACCAGAAGATTGAACAGAATTAAAAGAATAGCAAATAATGATTGAAAGATTAATAAGGAAGGATAACAAAAAGCAAGCTAGAAATTTTATGACAGATGGCAAGAGTTTTTAAAAGGTGTTTAAAAAAAGAAAAGAACAAGTGAAGTGTTCTTTGGTCCTCTACAGAGACGATCTTGGAATTAAATATAGAAAATAAGGAAGTGATGGATGAATTGAACATATATGTTGCATAAAACTTCACAGCACTGGACAGAAATAATATCTTATAAATAATTATGATTTAGGGGATGAAAGCAACGGAAGAACTAAAAACTAATTACATGTTACCAGGGAAATGATAATGAGATAACTATTAGAACTAAAAGGTGAGAAGTTCCTAGATCCTGATGGGAATTCAGCCTAAGGTCTTAAAAATGAGGTGGCTGCTGACATCAGATTGGTTCTTTTTTGTCAAAATACTCTAGATTCTGTAAAAGGTTTCATCAGATCAGAAATAGTGAATGTAACTACTCTATTCAACAAAGGAAGGAGACAGAAAGCAGAACAACAGGCCAGTTAGGTTAACATCTATCCATAGGGAAAGTGCTGGGATCTGTTATTCTGTTAATCTGACATAGGTTATAGTAGGCACTTGGAGAAACTCAATGCAATCAAGAAGAGTCAACATTGTTCTGTGCAAGGGAAGTGGAGAGAGATTGTAGAATCCAAGTTGAAGAGGAATCTGGGTGTCCATAAATAATAAAAAGTTAGTATGCAGGTACAAAAAATTATGAGAAAAGCAAATGGAATGTTATCATTCATTGCAAAGAATAGAAAAGTAGGAATGTTTTGCTTCAGTCATATCAGTTTTAAGTATAGGGTATGCATGAGATCACATCTGGACAACTAGTTCATATTTAGTTTCCTTATTTAAGTAAGGATGGCATTATGTTATAAGACAGAGGAGATTCTCTCAACTGATACCTGGGATAGAGGTGGGGTTTATCTTAAGAGGGACAGTAGGACAGGCTGGTCTGTTTCCATTGGCATTTAGAGGAATGCCAGTCATATACATTTCAATAAGATCCTAAGGATATTTAACAGGGTGCATTCTGTAGTGTTTCCCTTATGGAAAAGACTAGAAGGAGAGGACACAGTTTAAAAATAAGGAGTCTCCCATTTAAGGTATAGATTTTACAAAGGTTTTTATCTGTTGAGGGTTGAGTGTCTTTGGAATGCTTTCCTCTGGAAAGCAGTAGAACGGTCATTGAACATTTTAAACAAGTAAATAGACTCTTGACTAACAAGGGAATCAAAGGCTATTCTGGTAGGCAGGAATGTGGAGTTGAAGACACATCAGATTAACCATGATCTTATTCAATGGCAGAGAAGACTGAGGGGACAAATGGTCTACTCTTGCTCCTAATTTGTATTTTCACTATATTTATTTTGTGCTAATCATCTGGCACAACAGGTTGCAAATGCACAATGTAAAATGCACTTTAGACTCATCTCATGCTATATTTGGTAACTGCTGTATTAAGAGAAAAAGTTTGATGTGATACCCCTTTTCAAATAACTAAAAATAGCGCCAATTTGATTGAAGCAGATATAGATATCAAGACTGACTATTAACACATCAACATGAAAGAGCCGCCAAGGAATGTATGTTCCAACGCAAGTTCATTCTCTAGAAATTCTTGCCTACAGTTACATACCTGAATATTAATTAAAGAGGAAAAGTGAAGTTCAGTCGCAGACCACTGACCCACAAAGAACTCATAGCCTGCTTGTCTTGGCAAAGCGTACAAGAACTGGAAAAGAACATATCAACATGGGAGCTTTTCTAATAGGTTTGTTTTTGACACGGACAGGTTATAATGTACAGCCTAGGATCCCGAGTGTATGCCAATAAATGACAAGCCACAGTTTTGAAAGGTGAAGTCTGTCACCAGAAAGCCTTTTAGAATTTAGGCAGCAAGATTGGAACATTGATAACACAGTATGGAAAAAAGAAGGGTCCTGACCCGAAACATCAACTTTCCTGCTCCTCTGATGTTGCCTGGCCTGCTGTGTTCCTCCAACTCCACACTGTTATCTCCGACTCCAGCATCGGCAGTTCTTACTAACTCCTTTTTGTCAGGTTATTCTTTAAAGTACCAAGTAAATCGGGAAACAAAATCATAATTCTGACCAAGACACAGTAAAGCTTTGAACCTGGACTGCAATACAGAGAAGAAATGCAAGAGAAAGGTATAAAAAGGGAAAGTCAACCCTGATTGTTCCTAGACAATGTCTTGGACTCGCTCTCTGTTTAATTGCTGGATATCAAAAGCATGACTTCCTATTTTGTAAGAATTACTTCGTACATGTGAATATGTTTCCATGTCTAGTGAGATTCTTCTGAATTATTCTTTACATCTGGGCAAAATACAAAATAGCTGGCTTGACAGAAGATCCCAATCTCCCACTCTAAAACTGTTCTTTTAACAACATTAATATGATCTATTCTTATTTGGATTTTCCTGTCATGTTCCTTTTCAGTTGTGTATACACTGTTCTTCCTCCACCATCCAACCGTCCCCAGGACAGTTTCCTTCTTTCCCAGGACCTCAAGAATGTGGATTTCTTCACCTTGTTAAGCTTTAGCCCCTCCAACCTTCAACAACTTTTATGCGTAAGTGTAGAAAATATTTCTCCAGGAATAACCTGGTAAACACATGATAAACAATTGATTTTGCTGAATGTGGAACATTACAAACAAAAACAGGCCTTTGTGCCCATGGAGTTACCTCCACCTTCAACAGACTGTGGTGAATTTGCAACTCGAGGCGTCTTGATATTCTTACCTGACAAAAATAATTCCATGTCTTGGAAGCTTTACACTTACAGTCTATTTAATCTTAGAAATGTATTACTTCATGATGTTGATTGCACAAATGTTTTTATGTAATACTCAACATTACTTAAATTCCATGCAAGCAGAGCTGCAACCACACTGCCTAAATGAACACCATCAAACAGCAGAGAATGACAGCTCCAGAAGCAGGCAGTATCAAATCAAAACTGAATTTTAACTGCAAAGCAGCAGTGAACAAAAGGACTAGAGATTCTCAGGGAAAAAAAAAAAGTCTCTAGAGGATTCAGTTGGTAAATTTAATTATAACCAAAAAAATAACAAAATATGCATGTGATACAAACAGCACATTAGGAAAAAATGTGTCAGATATGTAATGACAAGAAAATGTTGTGGAAAACAAATGTTAATTATGAGTCGTGCTTGACATTGCAAGGATCTTAAATTCTTCAGCTTTCATGCTTGGGATGGGTTTCAACAATTCTTGGCACCAATTTAACAAATTGAATGCTTCCAGCTCAGAAATATACAAAGCATAAACACCATTTGCACTATTTCAACTCATCACAAATCAGGTATCATTTTAAAATGAAGGTGTCAACATGTTGACACTGAACAATACAGTTTACTCACAGTGGGGCATTTCTGAGACCTGCTGTGCATCAGATCAAATGTTGTACCCTATCAGGGAAAAACAAATTACAAAAATGTAAATTAATTGCCAAAAATAATTAATTTTCACGCATGAAGCTTAAATCTAAGCCATACTCACGGGAATTACTGCAGAGATAGTATTCTTTAAAGCAAAATACTGATTCCAAATCTGAAAAAAGTAGTGCATATTAAGGAGCATATTAAAGATATTTCCAAAGTTGAAACAGATTTTTGAACAAAGCAAATATTCTTCCTCAAAACATACAACATTCTCTCCCAACAAAATCTATACCAGGAAACTGACACAATGGCACATCTGCACTAACCAGCTGCATAGTCCAAATAAAATAAGTCAACAGGATATTTAAATTGGAAAAAAGAAAGAGGTATTTTTCCTTATCTGCACAAGATATATGCAGGATAAAAATGTTTTCCCATGTAAAGGCAATGTTCCATATTTTGCACTTGTAATGATGGCAAAACTGTCAAATTTCACCATTCTTACAACACTGAAACTGACAGCAACTTTGGGATCTATACATGCAGTTACGTGTGGAAATCTAGAAACTGCTGTCAGTGATGTCATGCTCCTTTACAAGTGTGCTGTTGAATTCTCTACAGATTGAAATCCTAGAAATCACTCCATCTGAAGTGAACTTCCAGATGTTAATTATTTTCATTGTAATCCGCTGAACACGATTACATCTTGCCATTTGGCCTCTCGAGCCTGATCTACCGTCTGACAAGAATCTGGCTGACCTGACTCTGGCCTCAACTTCATTTTAGGTGCAGCATGGTGGCTCAGTGGTTAGCATTGCTCCCTCAAAGCACCAGGGACCCAGGTTCAATTCCAGCCTTGGGTGACTGTCTATGTGGAGTTCATATATTCTCCCCAGACAGGGGTTTGCCAAGGATTCCTCCCACAGTCCACAGATATCATTAGGTGGATTGGTGAAGCTAAATTAGTCCGTAGTATCCAGGGTTGTGCAGGCTAGGTGGATTAGCCCTGGTAAAAACCCATGCAGGGTTATGGGGATTGGGTGTGTCTAGGTGGGATGCTCGTCAGAGTAGACTTGATAGACCGAGTGGCCTCTTCCTGCACTGTAGGGATTCTACTTGCCACCCTATATCCTATGATTACCTTGTCAATCCAGAGTAAAACTAACTCACCTTAAAATTATTCAATGACACTGCCTCCACTACTCTCGGGAAGACCAATGACCCTCTTTGATTAAAAAAAAAAATTAACCTGTCTTAAAATTATATTTTATTTATTTTTCAATATATTTTTAAACTGTACCTAGCATTTCTCACAGTGGGAGGCACCCTCTCGGTATCCAGCCTGCCAATTCCCTTCAGGACCTTGCATGTTTCAGTGAGGCATATCAAGGTTTTTAATATTATACAAAGCTATAGTTACTGAACATCCTTTTTATTCCTGCAAGATCAGTTTTACATTTGTGGAATGTGAAATTATCAACCATCCTAAAAACAGATTGCAAAGATTTAGTTTTATTTAAAAGTTTATGATATTACAATTTCCATCTTAATCCCATGCATAAGACTCAATCATTGTCCTATTCTCTGGAAAGTGATTGCCAAGTGAAGAAAATCACTTTGCTTGTTTTCTGAGAATCTCTAATGCGACTAGCTGCTTATCCTATTTGAGGACATCACTGTTGTTGAAATCTGATGATCCCCTATAGCTGATGTTGGAATTAAATTATAACTGGGAACAGTTAAAGATAGCCATATCCTTATGAGCAGCTTTCTTAGACTTCAGCACTAAGTACTGCCAATATACCACAATGGTATACCTGAGCTATACAATCTGAAAAGATCTGGATCCAGTTTGTGATGGATTAAACTCAGCTGAGTTTAGATCTCAAATGAGATCTCAGTTCAGGAGATAGTAACAGCACTGCACTTTTCTTGGTTTCTGTAATCCTGAGCCAGTTGCAGTTGCAATTCACTTCTAAGGTTTTTAGATTGCCTTCATTTAGATCGATAAAAAGAAAGAATATTTGTTTTGTTTGTATATAGCAGTGGTTCCAGCTGTCACAAAACATGGCCTTGGAAATTTTAATTGACCCGGCATTCAGTCTTTGGGAAGAGTTCCAAATTTCCACAGGCCTCTTATTTCACATCACACCAGGTTCACATCAATATTTACCATGCAACTTTTGTGCTGCAATGTGAAACTGCTTCACAACATTACGAGAGTAGTAGTGAAAATGCACTAACTTTTGTTGTAAACTAGAGCTTTCTTTCAAAAAAAAAAAAAGCTGCTTTCGTAAACAAATCAATACCTGTCTTTTAACTAAAAAGAAATCCAAACTTTATACTTCCCACCTACTTGCTGCTGCACTTATACTCACCTTGGTGCAAACTGACAACGTAACAGCACACCATTGAAGGCAGTTCTTCATGTCTCTGCACATCAGCACATTACATCAAGGCTACCACCTAACTGGCATACAATGCACTCCTGAAAATCCCTCCCTCTATTATGGCAATATGGTATCAAGACAAAATGGTAGATACACAGCCCAGATCAAACTTAAAATCTTTTAGATTGCAGATCAGACAAATAATTATACAGCAACTAAAGAATTCAAGATATTGGATAGCATTAGAAATAGAGGAAGCTCTCTATACATCTTAGGTAAATATCCAAGGATAAATGCACAAACAGAAGAAAGCCTAGCACATGGCTACAGTTGGAAGGCAAAGTTGCAAAATACGCAAATGAAGATCGCCAGATTGATATCTCAGTTTCTCAAGGATCAATATAAATCGTTCCCCTGAAATGAGCAAGAAAGTTAGGTATTGCAGGTTTCAAAAACAGCCTTGAACGGTGTACCAAGTTTATGAAGAGATACAATTTTGTAATGCTGCAGACAGCAGACTTCACAGCAATTCCATAGAAAAACTAATGACAGACATAACGATCAAGTTTCATTAGAACATAGAACATAGAACATTAGTTTATAATCAAACAGTGACAAAAGAATGGATACAGATTGGCCTGTATTCAGAACATGGATGAAACCCCCATGAATTTTGAGATACTATCTGGTCAAATGGTAAGCAAAGTTCTAAAGAAACAGTGTTATGACAACTAGCCACGAAAAGAGTAGATTCACAGTTTTATAGTTGTGTATCCAACGGGACAAAGCTTAAGCCAATGGGGATATTCAAAAGAAGAACTGGCCAAGATATTAATTCCCCAAAGGGGATTGCAAGATAAAGGATGGGCAGCTGAAGGCGACTTAAAAATATATCTGAGCAAAGTTTATAGTTTTCGCCAAGAAGGATTACATCAATAAAATATCTTCCCATCTGGGATAAAAACAAATTACTGCAGAAACTCAGCAGATGGCACATCTGAGGAGAGAGAAGCAGATATTGTATTAGTATTTCAAATCTGAAAAAAAAACTCTTCTTTGGAACTGAACAGTAATAATTACATGTTGACAAAGGGGTAAAGAGGATCAAATGTAAAATGGTGACAACACCCTGACCAAAATACATAGGAAATGCTGATGGGAGTAAAGGGACAATCTTAATGCAAAAGAGGTGTTAATGATTACTGTGGAGAGTCAAAAATAGGTTTGCTTCAGTGGGATGGGGTATGAGGGGAAGGAGTGTAATCAAAATGGAGGGCAATGATCACTTAGTGATTGAACTCAACATTGTTGTAAAATGCGGAGGTGGAAACCAAGGTGTTGTCCCTCTAGCTTGCACTTGGGCCTCACAAACACTGCAGCAGGCTGGGATGGAAATAGTGACATAAGACCAAGAGAGTGGATTGAAACGACAAGCAACTGGAATACATTCCTAAGGACACAGCAGACGTGTTCCGCAAATCGGTCACTCTGTCTGTGTTTGGACATGCCAATGTAGTGAAGACTGCACTGTGAGCAGTGAATGCAACAGACAACATTGAAAGAAGAAACAGTAAGTCACTGCTTCATGTTGAAAGTGTTCTTGGGAGGTCCTGGACAGTGAGGACAGAAGCAGTAAAACCGTAAGTGTTACATCTTCTATGATTAGACGGAAGGTGCTATGATGAGTGAGCAAGTTTAGGAGTGACACAAGGAATGGACCAGGGTGTCCTGGAGGGTACGCTCCCTGCAAAATGCTGACAAGGGAGGAGAGGGGAAGATGAGTTTGGCGATGCAATGGATATGGTGGAAATGGCAGGGGATGATTCTTTGAATGGAGAGACTAGCAGGGTAGAAAATGAGGACAAGGGAAATCCTATTGCTGATCTGGGAGGGAGGGGAAGAGGTAAAGGCAGAAATGCAGGAGCTGGTTCAGACGTGGCTGAAGGACTTAACTACAGTGGGGGGTGGGGAATGGGGCAATCCTCGGTTGAGGAAAAAGGAGGACATGTCTCAAACGTCGCCATGGAGGTGACATTTTGGAACAGATATTACAGAAATGGAAAATTTGGGAGAATGGAATACAGCCATTACAGGGAGCAGGGTATGAGGAAGTGCAGTCGAGGTAACTGTGGGAATTGATGGGTTTGTATTAGTGGGATCTCCAAAAATGGAAACAATGTAGTCAAGGAAGGGAAGAGTCAGAGATGAACCAGCTGAAGATATCCATCTCTGATATGCTTAGATTACACATTGTGAATGCTAAAATTAGATCACAAAAGGTGATACTTTAATGATTCCTTCTGGTCTAACCAGCTTGTTCAAACACTGAATCCCTCTCTAAATGAGCCCTTCGAGGACAGCGTGAAAAATGAAGTACAATGTTTGGATGATTGGTGAACAGCAGACATTCACCAAGTGAGTACAGCATCCGGATGTCAGTGATAAACATTCAGGTTTCTTTAAGGTTGAACCAGAACAAGGTGGGCAGCACTTGTTATTTTTTTCATTTCTTTAATTATTTAATTGGCTGATTTTGTGATGGATCATTTAAAATAGAAAAAAAAAACAAGCTCTTCACCAGTTGGGTGTTGGCTTTGGACAAGTAAAAAAAAAGAGTCCAGAAGAAATGTGCAAACTTTTGTTTGTGTTAAAGATTTACAATTACACTCTTAAAAATGTCAAAGTCTTTTGCTGCTTAATTTAACATGCGTACAATCCATCTATGAAACAACAGGCTACAGTGTCAGCAATCCTGTGTTCATGGTTTTGAAAAGTCTAGGAAGAAATCAGAACAGATCAGAGTCACATCATTCAAAAAAGACATGTAATGTGTCCAATGCACCTGATGGCACAGATAATAATTATTTATGGAATGATATGGTCAATGATGACAGGAAAATAATGATACTATTAAAAACAGATTCAGACTCATTTTTTTACTCCAAAGTTTAAGAATATATTTTATTGCACGTCAACATGTGCTCTTCTGCTAAGTAGTATTCTCTTCTATATTGTTAACGTGAAGGACTTGAGTGAAATTGTATCTGATGAATCTGACAAATTTGATGAATATAGTGCTTAGAACCAAATGTCACAGAGGTCATTATTTTACAAGTAAATATGTAATAATAATAAAATACTCCTGACTCCTTTAGTACTATATTTGGGGAAGGGTTGATGGGAATAGCCTTCAATGTGATAACACGGTGATAGTGAAGCAATGGAAGAGGGTGGATTTCAACTTTTCCAAAATGTTACTTCTGTATAAGTTGACTGTACATTTTGACTAAAAAATTTAGTCTTAGAAACACTAATTTAACATGAGTACATAGTGTATTTGTTAGTGATGGAGCAAAGTTTTCTTCTGACAACAGGCAAAATAAAACACACACATTAAATTCTGTGTTTTTATCCAATGAGCATGCTTTAACTTTCAAAAGCTGGACATTTTGTTGATCCTTTTAAAACGCTATTTCCTTCCATAATGGGGTTGAATTAATAATGGTCAAGTACCAGATTTCTGATTACTTAGAAATGCTAGCTTTTATCGATTGAATATTGAATTCTATGTTATTGTATATTTTCATAAAAACTTTAAAACTTGTATTATAACATAAGAAATACAAAGCTTCTTTGTTAATGGCAAAGTAAGATGCTTCCATTATGTGACTGGTATTTAATTTTGAAAATCTGATTTCTTTAAATACACTTACCTGTCCTATTTCATCTGGAGTTTTTTCTTTCATCATATCCAGATTTAGGATGGACTGAAGAGTCTGAAAGAAGAACAAAAACAAACTTCTGATGAATCAAATCAAAATGAAAATGAAAGGTGACTGAAAATGGAAAGTTCATTTATATTAGTCTGAAGTAATTGCTCCTGATTATTTTTTCTAAAAACTGGTAAAAGCTACTTTTCCACTGTTAGTGGGACAAGGTGATCTACCTGAAAATAATTGCTGGTCGATAAACAAATACCACAAAGTTCTTTTTTTAATTTCATGGAATGTGGGACACTGCTACTCTAGAGCAGAGAGAATTTTTCAGCTTACTTCTGGATAGTAGTTCACTTCTATTTACTGTACAGTGAGGAAAATTCCAAAATCCATATTGTTCGCATATTTACCAGGTGTTCAACATTCTGAGATAAATAACTATAGAAACCAATTTAGGTTTACCAATTGCAAAATCACCTTAATCTAATTTGCACAAGATCTATTTGCATTATTCTGCAAGGATGACATCAAAACAGGTTTTGCACAGTGTTAATCTGTCAGTTTCACTAAATGGAGCTAAAATATTACAAAGCAAAACTATGAAACATTCAATGGTTAACAGTTAATCTCATGGTTCAGGCATATATTACAACAATAAGTGCATTTCTCTGTTAAACTGAAGGCTTTTAATGTTCAATAAAACAGACACCTTTACCTTGTCCTTACTGAAACCAATTCTCTGTCCAGTGGCTCTTTCAGCCTGTTTCTTTGACTAGGAAAGAAAAAGCAACAATAGAACTCAAACAAAATCAGGAACTGGACCTCTCAAGATGTAGCATTTTTTAAACATAAATGTTTTACAAAGACCACACTGCACTCAGTTTTATTTTGCTACTCAAATCTAGACATCTAGCACTTTACTTAAAAGACACTTTCAAACAATTCCTTGAGACTGAACAGTGGTTTAATTTCACACTTTCTAATTACTGACAGATTCGACTGAAAAGATAATTTAAAGGGCACAAAATAAAGCATTGCAAAATCATTTGTACATGAAGTATTCATATATTCAAAAATGAATTATTCCAGAAGTTAATTTTCATGCATGAAGTCTGCATTGTATTGAAGGACTCTGGTGTAGGATGTAGAATCGGTGCAGCTGTGAGAAACAATAATGCAAAGTGATTAATGGACCAAAACAGCTTTGTCTTTCTCTGTCATGATATGACAATAAAACCGCACCTGCTAGTTGGTCCATGAAAGCCTGTGACCCATCCAAGTACTTATGTACGAAAAACATTTGAATTTAGCCCCAGTAGAAGTAATTGAATTACTAAATAGTTTAAGCTGCATTGATTTCCATTAGAGGACCTAATTTTGAAGACTTTTTTCCCTGAAGTCAATAACAATAGACCTGTATTTTGCTGACAATAATGGTGTGCCTAACAGTGCTCAACATTATCATGAAGTAAAACAGACAACAACTTCCAGAGTCCATTCACGTGCAACTGAATGGAGAAATCCCAAAGTTGCAGTCAAAGTTACACCGTTTCTTTACAGGCTGTATTGCCCTGGTACCTCAAGGAGATTTGACAGTGAAATCAACATAAGGTTATGAAGTTGCAGTCATTACCCTTCAGGTAGACATGAAACACAAAGTAAACTTAGGATTGCTGCATTCAGATACAAGTAATTTTCTTAAAAGATGTGTTAAGTCATAACTATTGTCCAAAACTCTGTCATTGAAACTTATTTTACTAATCCTTGAGAACTGAACTAGAATCGGAAATTGAAAAAAAATATCTTTTTCAGTCTCTTATTTCTTCCTCAATTTCAACAATCCTTGCCTCATAACTTCACTTTCTGTACACAATTTATTTTATAATTTCTGCTTTAGATTCTGTGATTCAACAATAAATTGAATCAAATCAAACTCCGAATTCTTCAGTCTATTGAAGCATCATAAAGTAGCTTGATCTAAAATATGTAAGAGGGTACTACGTTGGTACTACAATGACAGGTTGCCACTCAAACAGCTACAAAATCTCTGGACTGCCTTCAACAAATGCTGTTCTTTCATCAAAGACAATGAGCTCTGGACTATATGAAAATGTAGCACAGCCCATAAGTTTCCAATTAATTATACACGAGTTATCTCAAATGCTCTTGACACAACACTGGCAATTTTCATTCTTCTGTGAAATGATATGTGTAATATGCCAAAAGACATTCAAAATCTACAGCAGGAATTATAAGTTAAATGTAAATAAAATACAACAGTAGCTTAGCAATATGGTGAAAAACTGCCATTGAAAATGTCACAGACTTAACTGAAGTCACAGAAGTTAGAATATTTGAAATATCCATATGTTAAATATTTATCAAATCTTAAATAGAAAATAAGGTATAGAAATCTAAATGGTACTTGCTGATTTGATAGCTTTAGAACAACTAAAACTTTAAAACATAATCACCGTGAACTTCTATAAGGCCTTTTCAGCTCTCTACCATTGTATTCACAGATACAAGTAGCATTTCTGTTGAAAGTTGTAGCACTGAAATGAAATAAAATCAAATCCTAAGGAAATCTCCATCACTTGGCAGCACCTCCACCACAATGCCCAGTTTCATACAGTCCATAAAATGAGAGCTTATATAGTTTGATGTCTAACACTTACTTTGTTCTTTACCATCCAAATGATGTACAGCAATGGAGTTCCCTTGCACATTCCTATCCAAACAGATCCCTAAATAACAAGCATACAACTTCAAATGTTCAAGAGAAATAGAAACGCTGAACACATACCCTCATGAAAAAGGATTTCAAGAAATCTGTAATTAATGACCTAACTAATAAGGGGTGTTCATAATGACTTACCTTTTAACACAATTCAGCTAAAACATATTTTAATAAAGAAAATCATAGAATCTTGCCTTCTCTTCCATGAGTCTGATAAATTCACCCTGTTTTGAATGTCCTAATGGCTGTTTCATAACCTCGTCTTTCTTTGCCACACGAGCCTCATATTCATCTGGTTTTGTCCTAGAATCCAAAAATATTTGCACTTAAAGTGGTGTCTTACTACATTGCATTTTTTAAAAAAAAAGTGCATTCTGGAATAGGAACCTTCATCCACTCCTAATTATCCTGCAGAAAGTGACCTGTTGTTTTGAAGTCCATGTTTTATATGTACACCCAGAGTTCTATTAGGAAGGGAGTTCCAGGATTCTGACCCAGTAACACTGTGATGGAATTGGGTCAGGTTGCTGTGTGGCTTGGGGTGGAACTTGCAAGTTGTGGTGTTCCCACATATCTATGTCCTGTTCTTCCAGCGTGGATTTGAAAGGTGCTGTTGAAGGAGCTTGGGCGAGTTGCCACAGCACATCTTGTAAATGGTTTACTGTGTCACTTATAGAGAGAGAGTGAATGTTGAAGGTAGTGGGTGGCAATGACAATCAAATGAGCTGCTTTGTCCAGGAGTTTCATTAGCATTGTTGGAGTTGCACTCATCCAGACAAGTGGGCAGTATTCTATCACTCTCTTGATTTTGTCTTATAGATGGTGGGCAGGTTTTAGGGATTCAGGATTTGAGTTCTCACCATAAAATTTCCAGTCTCTGACCTTCTTGCAAGCAGTATTTTATGGCTGGTCTACTTACATTGTTGGTCAATAGTATCACCCATTGTTGATAACTGAAAGATATGCAAACATAGGAAAGAGGAGCTGGGAAATCAAAGTATTAGACAGGAAAGAGGCAGGTGTGGAATATAAACACAAGCAGAGATCAGTTTGGCTCAATTACTTGGTCTGCCACAGTTTCAGCCTAAATGTTTAAAGTGATGAGGGCAGAGCAGTGGACATGATTGAAATGGACTTCAGTAAGGCATTCAACAAGGTTCCTCATGGTAGACTGGTTAGCAAGGTTAGATCACATGGAATAAAGGGAGAACTAGCTACTTGCATATAGAACTGGCTCAAAGGTAGAAGACAGAGAGTGGTGGTGGAGGGTTGTTTTTCACACTGGAGGCCTGTGACCAGCAGTGTGCCACAAGGATAGGTGCTGGGTCCATTGCTTTTCGTCATTTACTTAAACGATCTGGATGCGAACATAGTCGGTATGATTATTAAGTTTGCAGACGACACCAAAATTGGAGATGTAGTGGACAGTGAAGAAGGTAACCATAGAGTACAATGGGATCCTGATCAGATGGACGAACGGGCTGAGGAGTGGCAGATGGAGGTTAATATAGATAATTCTATTACTTTTAAAAATAGTTAAGGAAAAAGATAGGCCTTGTATAAAAGCTAAAGTCCTTAATTGGAGAAAGGCAGATTTTGACAGTACGAGACAGGAATTTTCAAAAGTTGATTTGAGTAGATTGTTCACAGGTAAAGGGATGACCGGTAAGTGGGAAGTTTTCAAAAGTCAAATGATGAGAGTTCAGAGACATTATGTTCCCACTAGAGTGAGGTGTAAGGCTGGTAAGAGCAGGGAACAATAAAGATATTGAGACTCTGGTCAAGAATAAGAAGGGATCAAATATTAGGTGTAGACAACTGGGATCAAGTGAATCTCTTGAAGAGTACAAGTGGTATAGGGGCATTAAAAGGAGAAGCCTCTTAAAGATCCACGAGGTCAACTACATGTGCAACCACAGGAGATGGGAGAGATATTAAATGAATATTTCGCACCAGTTTTTTTACTGTGGAGAAAGAAATGGGAGCTAGGGAATTCGGATAAATAAACATCGATGTCTTAAACACATTACAGAAGAGGTGGTGTTGAAGGTGTTGAAAAACAGAAAATTGGATCAATCTCCAGGACATGTACTGGGAAAGGCAAGGACTGATTAGGGATAATATACATGGCTTTCTGCATGGGAAATAGTGTCTCACTAACTTGATTGAGTTTTTTGAAGAAGTAACTAAGAGGATTGATGAGGGCAGAGCATGGGCGTGATCTATATGGACTTCAGTAAAGGCGTTTGACAAGGTTCCTCATGGCAGACCAGTTAACAAGGTTAGATCACATGGAATAAAGGGAGAACTAGCTATTTGCATACAGAACTGGCTCAAAGGTAGAAGACAGAGAGTGGTGGTGGAGGGTTGTTTTTCACACTGGAGGCCTGTGACCAGTGATGTGCCACAAGGATAGGTGCTGGGTCCACTGCTTTTCATCATTTATTTAAATGATTTGGATGTGAACATAACAGGTATGATTATTAAGTTTGCAAATGACACCAAAATTGGAGATGTAGTAGACAGTGAAGAAGGTTACCTCAGAGTACAACAGGGCACCGATCAGATGGGCAAACAGGCTGAGGAGTGCAGATGGAGTTTATGATAAATGCACTTTGAAAGGCAAATCAGGGTAGGACTTATACATTTAATGGTAAGGTCCAGTGTGGGGGGCGGGGGGGCTGCTGAACAGGGGGACCTGGGAGTGCAGATTCATTGCTCTTTGAAAGTGAAATCACAGGTAGACAGGATAGTGAAGGCGATAGTTGGTATACTTGCTTTTATTAGTCAATCCATTGAGTATAGGAGTTGAGAGGTCATTTGCAGCTGACATTGATTAGGCTACTATTGGAATACAGCGTGCAATTCTGGTCTCCCTGCTATAGGGCGGATGTTGTGAAACTTGAAAGGGTTCAGAAAAGATTTACAAGGATGTTGCCAGGGTTGGAGGGTTTGAGCTATATGGGGAGGATGAATAGACTGGGGCTATTTTTCCTGGAGTGTCAGAGGCTGAGGGGTGACCTTATAGAGGTTTATAAAGTCATGAGGGGCATGGATAGGATAAATAGACAAGGTCCTTTCCCTGGAGTGGAGGAGTCAAAAACTAGAAGGCATAGGTTTAAGATGAGAAGAGAAAGATTTAAAAAGTTCCCAAGGGGCAATTTGTTTCACACGGAGAATGGTGTATGGAATGAGCTGCCAGAGGATGTGGTGGAGCCTGGTACAATTACAACATTTAAAAGGCATCTGGATGGGTATATGAATAGGAATGGTTTAGAGGGATATGCACCAAATGCTGGCAAATGGGACTATATTTATTTAGGATATCTGGTCAGCATGGATGAGTTGGACCAAAAGGTCTGTTTCTGTGCTGTATATCTGAGTCTATGATGTGCTAACGAAGCAAGGATGATGTGAGAGAGAAAAAAAACTTTTTCCACACAGTGAATCGTTAGTGTATAGAATGCACTGCCTGGAAACGTGGTTCAATTGAGGCATTTGAGGAGGGCACTGGATGATTATTTGGATAGAATTGGTGTGCAGGGTTTTGGGAAAAGGGCAAGAGACTGGCACTAGGTAACAGAACTAGAATAGGCACAATGGACCAAATGGCCTTCTTCTGCAGCATGACTATTTTGCAATATAACTCAGCCAAATTGGAAAATGGGTTAGTATCAGTATTGGTGCATTTCCGCAGCTTCTAGGCACAAATACAAAGACCAAAGGATGTCAAGCAGCATCATAGGAGCAGAGAGGCTGACGTTTCGGGCCTAGACCCTTCATCAGAAAAGGGGGAGGGGAAGGGGTTTCTGAAATAAATAGGGAGAGAGTGGGAGGCGGATAGAAGATGGGTAGAGGAGAGGATAGGTGGAGAGGAAACAAACAGGTCGAAGAGGCGGGGATGGGGCCAGTAAAGGTGAGTGTAGGTTGGGAGTTAGGAAGGGGATAGGTCAGTCCAGGTTACGTGGAACAATCCCTCTTCCGTACCTACACCGGCCCTAAACCCCACCTCTTCCTCCATTACATTGATGACTGTATCGGCGCCGCCTCGTGCTCCCACGAGGAGCTCGAGCAGTTCATCCACTTCACTAACACCTTCCACCCCAACCTTAAGTTTACCTGGACCATCTCTAACACCTCTCTCCCCTTCCTGGACCTCTGTCTCCATATCGGGCAACCACCTAGAAACCGATATTCATTTCAAGCCCACTGACTCCCACAGCTACCTAGAATACTCCTCCTCCCACCCACCTTCCTGCAAAAATGCTATCCCCTATTCCCAATTCCTTCGCCTCCGCCGCATCTGCTCCCAGGATGAGACATTCCACTCCCGTACATTCAGTTGTCCTCGTTTTTCAAGGACCGTAAACATCCCCCCCCTCGGTGGTCGAGAACGCCCTCAACCGTGTCTCCCACATC